ACGGGTTGAGTGTTCCCAAAATAATAAATGTAAAAGCATGGCAAATGGTCCAAGTGTGCAGGAAAATCTCTCTGCCCCCCAAGTGCCCCGATGTGCGGATTTAGATATCCACACAGAGGGGGCAACTTGGCTATTAGATATATAGATGTGCATTTGAAAGCTACAGGTCTCTCTGCTGACAGGCACCCAAGGTCAAAGCTATGCGAAGGAAACGGGTTGAGTGTTCCCAAAATAATAAATGTAAAAGCATGGCAAATGGTCCCGGGAAACCTGCCAAGAGCTATGTTTAATGAGGACCATTGCTCCTTATCAGAGTTGGGCAGGGGCAAACAAGCCCTGAATGAGGCCAGAGGAAGATCCAGTGTTCTCCAAAGTTTCTCATTGTTCTGAGACCAGATAAACAGATGTGATCAGTGACATACTTGACTAGTGCAGAGGTACACCAATAGGAATGTGCAGAGTCAAATGATGCTCTGGTGATGCTACCTGCCTGACGCCAATTAGCGATTTTCCTCTGTGTAAACTATAAGTGATGTCATCTGGGGTATAAGACCTTCTGCCCTTCCTGGTTATGACAGTATACAGCTTGGCATTGCTGGGTGCTAAGGTATCCAGCCCTGTATCTCCTGTTTCTTGCAACAAACAGTTAATTATCTAATTCACTGGAATCCAACTGTGTGTCCCATATTCGACCCCGGGAGCACACAAGACACAGATTTGTGCTACAATGGTGAAATGCTATTTCAGAAAGTAGATAGATCAGAATAAGATTCAAGTATTTCATACCAAGGACCGGGGCTTTTGTTCTGGGGGGACGTGCCAGAACGGAGTTCTGGTGTGACATTGGGCGGCGTCCTCAGAGGCTGAGCCGCCTTTAGCCATCCTATTTGGGCATCCCTCTGTCGCCAGTGGTGACTTGGGTCTCCCCGCGGGTGTTGGAGCCGGGGTAGGCTGCTGCAGAGGAGGGAACTTGCCTCAGACGACGGGCAAGACAGAGGGTTTCCTCACCCTCTTGACCCGTTCTGGAATCTGGCTTTCAGTCCTGTAGGACACACAGCTTCTCTGCACCCTCTCTCTATCTTTACCGCCGGGGAGAGTTCGGTATAGCCAGTCCAGCCGCTCCTCATCAGCTGGTTCCTCTCCTCCTTTTATTACCCCCTCGGCTCCTGTTCCCACCCCTGTCCTGACCCCGCCCCCCTGTAAATGCCCAGACGCCATCCCTCCTGGCTCCTCCCTTCCATTTGTTTCCTGCCTCGGGATTTCGGACGTCTTCAGCTCTTCTATCCCACACGGGGCTGCACGCGCTCCTTCCTCCCTCTCCCAGGTCACAAACTTCCACGGCCGTTCCTCCGGAGGCCCGTCTCCGCCGCGCCACGCCTCTCTTCACTCGGGGTGAGTGCGTCGTGCTTGGTGGGGTGGGGGCCTCTTGGGACTCTGACACCGCCCGCTTCCTCTCCAGCCCCTCCTACGCCGCCCGTCTCTGCTCCCGGCGAGTCCGGGGGTTCCGGGAGGGCCCAGTCGAGACCGGGACATCTGGAACCTCTTCAACAAAATACTTTTTCGGTCGAGACCAGGACACTAGGTTCCCAGGACATTAAAGGCTTCTCTTTTTTGGGTGGCCTCTGGATCATTGTGATCCACCAGGCAGCTGGTATGCTCCCTCTTTAGAGTTCCAGCACCTCTTTAATAATAATTTTAAAAGCCCAGCCAGGGACCTATTATTAATACCATCATACAGGGTGGGAACAATTTATTTTTTCCATATTTAATTTACTTCCCCCCCCTTTCTCCCTCTCTTGTTCTCTTATCTTCCCCCTCCCTTCCTGTTTTCTCATTTTCTTACATTTGTTCTCCTTCTGTCATTTATGTTTTCAAACTTTTTGAAATGATACCCACTTCTAAAATTACTGTAGTTTTTGGGACTCACTTCTAAACTTACCATAGTTTTTTGATTGACTTGTAAAATTACTCAGTATTACTTCCCACCCATCCCAACCCCAACCAACATAAAATGCACAAATCTCCTATAAACACTGAACAAGTTTCTATTTTATTTTTCTGGTTTACTATTCATGAACTGATGTTCATAATTTGTAATATAATCAGTGGAATTGCTGCAAGTGCTCTATCTCTGTTTTCTCGCTGGAGGATGAGGGCTGACACACTATAACTAAAATGGTAACTCATTAAATTGATGTGGGTTTCTTATAAGTGGAGGTAAAATGTGGGAATATTTCTATGAAAATATTATTTGTTTCTGTTGTTTTAACCGTTTCTTTAGCTGCATTTTTTGAGACAGGATGCCGTGATTATGCATTATATTATAGCTCTAAACTAAATTGTTCAAGAATTCCATTTTCTACACATGCCTGCATAAATTCCTGCATATTTTTAAATTATCACTTCTTAATGATTAAGAAGGTCTTTTAAATTGCCAAGACCTTCTTCAAATACAAGACCTTCTGTCCCCATCCCTGGTCTGGTGGAACATGTTCCCACTTGAGATCAGGGCCCTGCGGGACCTTCTACTGTTCCGCAGGGCCTGTAAAATGGACCTGTTCCACCAGGCCTTTGGATGGGGCAGTGGGCATCCAATCAATTTGGCCTCCCTTGCTGAAGCTCTCCATCTCTATGCAGCCCAGACTGAGCAGGTTTTTAGTGTCCCAATGGATCCAGTTTCTGAGACTAAGGCTGCAATCAGACAGGTACTTTGATCCGTGGTCACTGCTTCTTCCGTCCAGATTTAAAGTGTTCATTCAGACAACAACATTGGGCTCCCAACCTCCAGCCATCAGCCTCCTGTCTTTACCCCCAAGTTTCCTGACCCCGCAGAAAGTCCGGTATTTGCTGAACCTACCGGCATTATTGTGGATCTGCTGATGTCTGATCAATCTCCCGTGCAATCAAGCCACCACAGAAGAACACCTTCCCTTCCATTTTGGTGCTATTTTTTTACTCTGTTTGCGATATGTGCATGACCACTTAAACACCAACGTGTATTATCAAACGAGGGCACTCCAGTGCTTTATTTCTTTTTGGGGACCATGAACACAAGGGGAGGTATCCTGCAATTTTCACAGCACTAGCCAGGTGATTGAAATTTTATTGAGGTTTGACATTAGTGCAAATAGACCCTGGGTAGATATCTATGGCAGCCATTTTTAGAAGAGGTAATTCTAGTTGGCGTTTCTGCGCATGTGAAAAAAATGAAGAATTCACATACATACATACATAAACCTTTATTGGCATAACACAGCGACAAGAGGGACAGTGAAACAATTAGAAAAATAAATAAACAAATTAATAGGTCATGGCAAATTACACCAAGCTGCCCCAACAAAGGATCATTTAGAAGCTTCTAAGAATTCAAGTAAGTGCCCATGTGTATGTGCAAACACAGAACTTTAAAAAACCTGCTGATCGTGCGCCCAGTGGTTGCCGCCCAGCAAAAGTCTAGACACTCAACCACGGAGTCAACACATGGTGAGGCAAGTAAGAGGGGAGCTGTCTGGTCAAGCTGCAGTGGAACAAAAATATCTAGATCAGGGGTGGACGAACTGTGGCTCGGGAGCCAGGTGTGGTTCTTTCAGACATTGTGTGGCTCCCGGCAAGGCAGCTGGGGAAGGGAAGGGGAGGCATGCCTCCCCAATTGGTCTTCCCTTCCCCAGCCAGTATTCCCCTCCCTGGGTAGGCTTGAGCTGTAGAGGGGGAGCAGAGAAAGAAAGCAACCAGCCAGCTTGGTTAAGGCATTTGTCTCCTTAAATCCCTTATCCAAGCCAAGCTGGCTGGCGTGGGGTCATGGAGGGGTTGGGAGAATACATTTGAAGTTAAAGTTGTTTTCTTTTCACCTCTTTCTTTCTCTCTTTCCCCCTCCCTCCCCCATCTATTTGCTTTCTTCCCACCTCTTTTCTTTCTTTTCACCTTCCCTTCTGTCTCTCTTTCCCCCTTTCTTCCTCCCTCTCCCGTCTATTTGCTTTCTTTCCACCTTTCTTTCTCTTTTTCTCTCCTTCTCCATTCCTTTCTTTCTTTCACTCTCTCTTCCTTCCCCTTTCCTCCCCATCTATTTGCTTTCTCTCTCTCTCTCTCTCTTTCTCTCTTTCTTTCTACCTATTTCATTCTTTCTTTCCACCTCTCTCTCTCTCTCTTAGACAAATAAATATGATTAGCAAACAAATATCATTGGACAAATAAATATCATTATCAATATTTGTTTTTACCCCTTTTGTATTTATTTTTGGCAGTTTCATTTAATGTTAGTAAATGCAAATTTGCATATTTTTCAATAAAAACGTGTGTCATATTTGTTCATGTCTTGTGGCTCTCAGACATGTGACGTTTATTCTACGTGGCTCTTACATTAAGCAAGTTTGGCCACCCCTGATCTAGATCAAATTAGAGCTGTGGCAGCAACCGGATAAGCTGCTCGTCTGACTGCAGCCTATTGCACTTTAATTGATAGTGCTACCTGTTTTAATTCATACTGTTTTAACTGTTTCGACTACTGAATTATTGTGTTTATATTATTTTATATTTTTGTTGTGATCCACCCTGAGCCCATTCGTGGGGAAGATGGAATAAAAGTAGAAATAAATAAATAAATACATATTTATTTATATACATACATACATACAGTGGAGGGGAGAAATCTGTTTGAAAGATGTTTGACTGGTGTCTTCAGTACAAATTTTAATGTCCAAATATAGCTGAAATCAGCTGTGCTTTAAATGCTTTTCACCTGCTTAAGAACAGCTTCTTGAAGTCTGCATCTGCTAATCTGAGGTTTGTTCTTTTCTACAGATATGCATCATTTTTCAATTATTTGGTTCTTAAAGTGTTTCCAGCTTTTTTATAAATATATCCCTAAAAGTGTGTGTGAGTACATGTGAGTGTGCATTTATATGTAGAACTGTCAAGAGCCAGCACTTGCAAGCTGACCTTCAGTGCCTGTTTGATATTCTGCCTTGCTGATTCTTTCCCTCTGTCTCTCCCTCCTCTTTCAGCTTTTAGTGGGAATTATTCAGGCTGCTGAACTGCCTGCATTAGATATGGGTGGTACATCTGATCCCTATGTGAAAGTGTACCTGCTTCCAGATAAGAAGAAGAAATACGAAACAAAAGTTCACAGGAAGACCCTTAACCCTGTCTTCAATGAGCAATTTACATTCAAGGTATTCTTTTGATAATTACATGGCACCTTTTCATTGTTTGCAATATATAGTCAAGGTTAATCCCATGCACCATCACAGAACTGAGTATGTCCTAGTTAATTGGTGACCCAAGGCACAATGGTTTTTTCTTTTACAGACATTTAGGAGATTGCCCATAATGAAAAATGTAGTTAAGGATTATTACCAGCATAATAATTCAGTTCTGAGCTCTGCAGCTGTACATCTTTTATGTATCTGGCCTTGATTCTGGAGTCTCTGAAATTGTCAGTACCTCACAATTCTGTACTATATCAATGGTTTTTTTAGAATTTCATGGTAGAACTTCCTTCCTGAAAGGGCATTTCAGGGGATCTAGCTCCTCATTGACCTTTTTGTGGATAGTTTATATCTGCTTTGGTTGGGACAGAACTGTGATGTGCTCCTCATTCTCATATCCATCTAAGTGAATGACTGCTGCATCTTCCACTTGTTGAAAATGCTAGGAGCTCAGTGCTGGGTTGCCTTTACTTTTCACTGCCCTTCGGGTTCCCAAGAAAACTTACTCAGAATTGAGTACAACCATTCTTTTCTCCCCCCCCCATTAATGTATAAACAAAGATAGCATGACATATTAATCTCTCTGTTAACAGTTGTGGCCATGATCCAGTGGTTCCAGTTCATATCTGTGTCATTCTACACATGTTGTTGCTTTTCCATTCTCTTCAGTGAGCAGGATTACAGTTTATGCAGTGACAGATTCTTCAGTGTTTATGAAATGCCGATCTTTGGAGAAGAGATAAGAGAGCCTTCTATGACAGTAGGGTTTTGAATTGTGCATTTGCTGTGCAGGCCTGTAGCTGGGAAGCTGACTAGAACAAGCAGAGAAACATAAATTGCTAGACACATAACATTTCCAGTACTCTGAGGTGTCAAAATGAAAAATTTGGGAAAGAAAAAATCTGGAGAATATCTAGGGGGTAAGGCTATATAATGAATGTTGTGCTCTCTTTCTCCTGATCCCTTCACCTCTGGATCTGATGTTATCTGACAGTAAACCTTTGTTACTACACCATAGTAATTCCAATGCCTATGCAATATTGGCTGAGGCGAAAGCAAATCAAGAGTGCTCTGTCTTTTCAAAATGTAAGGAATAGTTAATAATGCCTCCCAAACATACAGCCCAATTCCAGCAATGTAAAAGCTGCATAGCTGAACATACTTGGAAGGATTTTAGACTGAAATATTCACTGCACTTCAATAGCTATCGGCCGTTCCTTCTGTATGCTTAGTCTTATAATGACAGCTCTAGTTTAAAAGCAGGGACAATAGGAGATTCAGGCTATGTAATCACTCAACAAGAAAGAGATCCCTAGAGGCCACCACCACTACTGCAGACATAAGCTTGTTTTCTCTTGAAGATGTTCATAAAAATAATACTCCCCCCCCCCTTTTCAGGAGGCAGAGAAGGAAAAGTTCTTTACTTGAGTATATTGAAAATGAAACAGAAAAGAGAAGATAACCAGCATCTTCACTGTTCAAGAGAATAGATCAATAGAGTCAGTCAAGATGACCACAGTCCACCAAGTCCTGTAGCTTCTTTACCTTTAAATAGATTGAGACTGTGCCAATGCGGGCTTTAGTGGGTAGCTGCCAGTTGCCACTAGCCAGTTTTTCATGCAGACTTGGAAACTCCAGTGCGTCCAATTAATATGATCAGGTACACTACTCTTTCCTTTGACTCAGGGAAAGCACACTTCACAGGGAACAGTGTGTTTCATCAAAGAGAATGAACACTCTTCTGAAGTTTTGTGAAGCTCAGTGCATCCTTTGCATTCATATTTTATTATCAAAATGCCTCAGGAACATTTGTCACACTTAGCATGTCATGGCTAATGAGTTCAGGAGCAGCACATCTTGAAATGTGTCCTGTAGTATTTTGGCAAACATTTATGAGAATTGTCACTCTATGCATAATGGAGGTGCAGGTTAAGCGTTAAGCCTCTTTGCTCTTTTGTAATAACCATTTTTGGAGTGACCATGTGGGCAACAGAAACAGATAGAATCATAGAATGTTAAAGTTGGAAGGGACCTTGTAGGTCATCTAGCCCAACCCCCTGCACTTGGCAGGAGCATAGCTGAAATATAGCCCTAAAACATACCCGAACATCCAGTCCAACACTCTGTGTCACACAGTGGCCAGAAATACCAGTGCCATCAGGAGGTCCACCAGTGGGGCCAGGACATTAGAAGCCCTCCCACTGTTGACCCCCCCAAGCACCAAGAAGACAGAGCATCACTTGCCCCAGAGCCCCTATCTATACCTTGTGGCTAATAGCCACTGATGGACCTCTGCTCCATATGCTTATCTAATTCCCTTTTGAACCCATCCATGCTTGTAGCCGCCACCACTTTCTGTGACAGTGAATTCCATGTGTTAATCACTCTTTGGGTGAAGAAGTACTTCCTTTTATCCGTTCTAACCCGACCGCTCTGCAGTTTCATGGAGTGCCCACGAGTTCTTGTATTGTGAGAAAGGGAGAAAAGTACCTCTTTCTTTACCTGCTCTTTCCCATGCATAATCTTATAAACCTCGATCATGTCACCCCTCAGTCGTCTTTTCTCCAAGCTAAAGAGCCCTAAGCGCTTTAACCTTTCCTCATAGGGAAAGTGTTCCAACCCTTTTATCATTCGAGTTGCCCTTTTCCCAAAGCTATAATATCCTTTTTAAGGTGTGGTGACCAGAACTGCACACCTTAAAATTACAAATGAGGTCGCACCATTGATTTATATAGGGGCATTATGATATTGGCTGATCTGTTTTCAATACCCTTCCTAATAATCCCCAGCATAGCATTGGCCTTCTTTATTGCAGTCACACACTGTCTCGACATTTTCAGTGAGTTATCTACTACAACTCCAAGATCTCTCTCTTGATCAGTCTCTGCCAGTTCAGACCCCATCAATGTGTATTTATATTTAGGATTTTTGGCTCCAATGTGCATCACCTTGCACTTGGCCACATTGAACCCCATTTGCCATGTTGACGCCCACTTGCCCATCCTTGACAGATCCCTTTGGAGTGCCTCACAATCCTCACTGGTTTTCACCACCCTGAACAACTTTATATCATCCGCAAATTTAGCCACTTCACTGCTTACTCCCAACTCCAAATCATTAATGAACAAGTTAAAAAGCAGTGGACCAAGTACTGATCCCTGCGGTACCCCACTGCTTACCACCCTCCACTGAGAGAATTGCCCATTTATACTCACTCTCTGTCTTCTATTAATTAGCCAGTTTTTGATCCATAAAAGGACTTGTCTTTTTATCCCATGATTTTTGAGCTTACTTAGGAGCCTTTGATGAGGAACCTTACCAAAAATTCTTTCTCGTCTTATTTCCTGGAAGGATTTTAAAAAGAGAGAGAGAGATTGAGAAACACTGAGGCAAAGTCAGCTGCTAAGAAAATTTAATTGCTTTTAATTTATACATTTACAACTATGTGTATTAAAGGGTACAATATTAAAAGGAATTTCAGCTCTGGGGTTACACCTTGACTAGGATGCCATGAGAATGTGAATCTTCTTAAACCATTAGCATCAGAAAATAGAGTGCCATGCTGAATAAAGCATTTACCCAGAAGGGAGTCTTCAGGTAGTTCCGGGATGCTGCTGGAGGCTAAAGATTCTTATATGAGCAGCTTCTGTGACTTCAGGGCTGCTGCCACAGGTTGGCAAAGTGAAATGGCAACTTTAAGACTTCTGTGCCCATGTTAATTATGTACTTTGTGTCAAACTCACATAAGGGCTTCATAAGCACCCAGCTGTGTCTCTGAATATAAGGACAGATGGTAGTACAGCTAAAAATAAATTCCACTGTTGCTGAAATTATAATTTATTATTTTTGGGATAATATTAAAGGTCCTTCAGATGCCCTATTGTTGCCAACTCCACCCCCAACATACTGTGGATTGAATATTGTAAATAAATACAGTGCCAGGGGATAACAGTGATAACGATCTAATGATGCACTTTGTTAGATCTCGAGAATTTGTAGTAACCTATGCATTGCATCACATTTTTGGCATTGTTACCCAAATTATTATATTTAATTAATTAATTAATTAATTAATTAATTGGATTTCTTGACCAACCTTCCCCGCTTACACGGGGCTCAGGGCGGTTTAAATATAAATTATAAAACCAATTAAAACCACAAGCATACAATATTAAAAAACCAATGTACATATTTAAAACATTCCAAGAATAGATGGAATGTCTAGCATTCAGATTTTTGGGAGGGTGGGGGGAGGGTGGGAGGGTACCGGGCAGATGTAGGAAACCATTGCTGGCCTCAACCAAAGACATGGCATGCTTTGCGAAACTTTAATAGATTGGACAGGGTACGAATGTCATTTTGCAAAGAGTTCCACCAGGCTGGGACCAAGGCTGAGAAGGCCCTGGCCCTGGTCGAGGCCAGCTGGATATCTTTGTGGCCAGGAACCACCAGGAAATTCTTATCTGCTGATCTCAATGCCCTTCGAGGGACACATCAGGAGAGGTGGTCCCGAAGGTATGTAGGTCCCTGACTGTTAAGAGCTCTAAAGGTAAGCACCAAAACCTTGACTCTGATCCGGTGCTCCACTGGCAACCAATGCAGCTCGTGCAGCACTGGGTGGATATGTGTCCTCCATGGGGTCCCTGTGAGGACCTGCGCAGCTGCATTTTATACCAGTTGGAGCTTCCAGGTCAGCCTCAAGGGTAGCCCCTCAGATCTGAGCGGGGGTGCCCCTGCTCCCAAGCCCTGCCCCCAAGTGTGATCACCCACCTGGCCACCCCTCTCCCTCCCCTCCTGCCAGGTTTAAAGGGTTTCAGCTGATCAGTGGGGACCATGTGGCTCGCTGATCAGCTGGAGGTCCCTTTATATCTAGCAGGAGGGAGGGAGAGGACTGGTCGCAAGCCACATGCTCAGCTTGCAAAAAGATCCTTTAAAGGGTCTTTTTATGACCTGAGTGACGGGTGTGAAGCCTGCCACTGCAAGCCCCACCCCCAAGGGCAGCCGACCACTCGAGCACCCCTTTCCCTCCCCTCCTGGCAGATTTAAAAGACTTCAGCTGATTGGTGGGCCACATGGTCCCCATCGATCAGCTAAAGCCTTATAAATCTGGCAGGAGGGGAGGGAAAGGGGTGGTCGAGTGGTTGGTTGCCCTTGGGGGTAGGGCTTGGGGTGGCCCTGCCCACTCCCAGAATGCCCCCCAATCCCCCCACTGGAACAAGAAGGGGACCTGGCAACCCTACAAGGAGAAGTGTTCCTTTAGGGAGACTAAGAGGTTAGACAGGCAAATATTCAATGGCTGAATATTTTACGTGATGGAATGGGGGGGGGATCTTCCTGCCCAGCACTTGAGATAAGAGGGAAATAGCCTGGGCTATTGCTCATTATCTTAATTATTTGGGTCATTCATTAAGGCCAGATTATCAGGGAGAGGAGCCCCTAGGTCCTTGGCGCTAAAGGCCCTTCAGTTGACTCCGACTGGAGATGGGCTTTTGCATAGTTAATGGAGGAGCTGTCTTCACATTCCTTTCACACTTTCAGTGTGACTCACTGTCAATTTGATAGCAGTTTGATCCAGACTCCATTTTTGATTGCTAGGCCCATGCTAAGATATGCACATCTGCAGGGATCAAAAATGGCAGTCCCTGTGAGGGGGAGTCCCTGGAGGATCAGCATATAAAGGACAGTGAGAAATTGTCTTTAGTAGTATTGTTTTAAGATAGTTTTTATAAATGTTCATGATTTTGAAAAGTAAAATTTCTCAAAAACATTAACGTATGAGAAAATAGGGTAGAGTACTGATCAGAGTGTTGAACTAACATCTGGGAGACTGAGACTGAAAGCTTGGATGTATATGAGCATAAAAGTTAACAGGCAAGACTTCTTCCCTTTTATGTTAATTAATACAGCGTCAGGTCTTAAACCTGAAGAGCCCTTCATACCTTTCTAATAAGAAGGATTACTGGAAGAGAACTAGTATCGTACCTATTCTGTCAGTCTTTAAAAAAAAGAAAATGAAAACTAAATGGCCACAAACACAAGGGTTCACCGAGGACTGAGGTTTGGATAGGGTGCTGCCCCACATCGCTACTCTTTGTCATAAAGGATTGGAAGCACCTCTTGGGGAATAATTTTACTTTATTATTTTATGTAAGCCACCTTGGGGAGCCTTCTGGATCAAAAAATAAGATAGAAGTCAAATGAATAAATAAATGCAAATATTAAATGTTTGCATAGAACCGGCTCAATGCCCCAGTGACCCAAGCAGCTGTTCGAGGTGCCAAATCAGAGGGGTGTCAGTGGCACAGGCTAGCAGAGGCAGGGAGTGGGTACTGCTTTCACAGCCACAGGGGATCCAAGCCAAGTGTGTGCTGCTCCACTGGTTCCAAGGTGGGATGCTTCTGCCTTGGACCCAAGTAGGGGAGCAGAAGGGAAGGGGCTGCACCTACTGTGTATGGTCTCATCAGGTCCAAGGTGCTTCTGCAGCCAGCTTGGACCCAAGCTGGGCAGCAGAGGTACGGGTAAGGGTGCCCTTATACCTCTGGCACTGCTGCCTAGCTCAGATCCAAGACAGCCTCTGCAGCTCACCTTGAATTCTGTGAGGGAACATGGAAGGAGGGTCCTTGAGATGGCAAACATCTTGAGCCATCCCTGAAAGAACCAAAGTAAGGCCGATAGAAATGCTCAGACATTGTACTTCATTGAAATGTGGTTGTATAAAAAACCTAGTAGTGTTTAGAAAGATCTTTAGACGTTATTGGAAAAATAACAGGACGTTTATTAAAAGTCACCATGCCTCCAGCCCAAGTGCAGACATTTCCCCAGCAGAATGCAGAAGTGCTGCTTACTTCAGCTTGCATCACTTCCCATAAATATTAAAAGCATGACTAATGACCATTCTTCTAATCTAAAGCATCTGTCCTTAACACATCAGAACAGCTGGAAAATTAGCCAGAACCTAGCCTCCTGCTGTCAAGATTTATAGCAGTGTATCATGCCATAGGGTGAGTGTCAACATTCACAATGTAAAAGGTAAAACCAAGCCACTTCAAGAAAACTTCTAGTCCCTAATTACTCTGTGTCAGACATAGAAAGCCACTTCTTTGCTTTCCCATCAGTCTGCGTGCTACCTTTCCCCCGAGAATGACAGCATGATTTATCGAGAGAAACATACTGCAATATCAAAAACTCATGTATCTGTGGGACAAATAATTGGTCTTTAGCTTCAAGGTAGAGTCAGATGCTGAGAATGCATGGCAAAATCTCCAGCATGATAACTGAGCTTCTCCATAGTTCTATAGGATGTTTTCTAGTTTTACAAAACAGTACATGAAATGACTCTCAAGAAAATCTCATTGTTTTTTTCTTAGTTCAGTTTCCTGAGAATGACAGCTAATAAATCAAAGAAACGGATTTGCATTGTAGTGAAACCCTATTTACTGTGTAAACTACAGTACATGCTTTTCTCTCCCCCCCCCCCCTTAGGTGCCATATTCTGAACTGGGAGGAAAAACTTTAGTGATGTCGGTATATGACTTTGATCGCTTCTCCAAACATGATGTAATTGGGGAGTTCAAGGTGGCAATGAATACAGTGGATTTCGGTCATGTGACTGAAGAGTGGCGGGACTTGCAAAGTGCTGAAAAAGAAGAGGTAGGAAAAATAAGCTGACATAAATACATACATTCCTTCAGGGAATTGGGCCACCGGTGTTTTCTGTTTCATCGTAATCTGAGATTTTTAGAAATTTGAAAACTTTTTTTTTTAGAAATTGGAAAACATTTGTTTCTGGTAAACGCTGCTGTTTGAAAACTGGTGTATATTGGGTATCCTTTATTATTTCTTCTGATAATAATTCTTGCTCCTTTCTAGCTCAAAAAATTGCACCTGGATAATACTGAATGCTATTTATGATTGCAAATCTGGATTATTTGTGTACATCCCAATATTAACAGTGCTATCCTAAACTGAGTTCTAAATCCATTGTGGTCAATGGACTTCTTTACATGAGCTTGTAGCAATTTATCCCAAACTGGCCAGCAAACTGGTAAAGCCAGGGTAACTTTTTCTCAGCACTGATACAGCATTTGACGTGTTCTATAAAGATACCCTTATTTGTAAGAGCCAAAACAAGAAAGACCTCTGTCAATGGCATGATCTTACAAAGACTACAACATTGCGTATGGCTTGAGGTCAGTGGACTTAGAAGGGTATAACCCTGCTTAAGATGGCACTATAGTTTTGCCAACTGCAGTTACCTCACAATGATATCCACATTCTGCAAGCAAAAGCTTCCACTGCTGCTATAAGGCTAGGGCTGAGTGCAAAGAAAGGACATACATAAAGGGGGAGTGGAAAACCTTGTGTATAGCCATAGTTTTGCTTGCTGTGGTCTCTTTGGTTGTAGGAACTCCTGGCAAGTTTCGATCTCTTTGGTAGTAGGAACTCTTAGCAAGAACACGACAAGCAAAGCCTCTTTGGTTCTTTACTATGGACACTTGCCTTTCTTCTATTCATCCTTTGGATTATACATTACGAAAATGGAGAGGTGTACATTTGATTAATTTGCATCACTGTGTTTTTGGGAATACAGTTTTTGGGAAAGAACTTTGTGTTTTCAATTTTAGATTATTTTATACTACTGCCTGCTAATTCTAAATATCTTAGCCATGACCCAAAATAGTAGGCACAGAAGAGTAAATGAATATGCATATTTGTAGGTTGTTTATGTTGCTGGTAATTTTCTTTTCTCAAGGAAATTTTCTTTCCCCATCTTTGTTGTTCTTGTTGTTTATATGAGCTTGTAGCAATTTATCCCAAATTGGCTTGCAAACTGGTAAAGCCAGGCTAACTTTTTCTCAGAGTTGATATAGCATTTTACATGTTCTGTAAAGATACCCTTGTGTAGTCTGTAAGACTAAAGACTTCTTTCTTTGGCATGATCTTACAAAGTCTACCGCACTGAGTATGCCTTGAGTATTCATAGGCTACAGCATACTTCATGCGAAGCAATTTAAAAAGCTCAATTTGGTTAATCTTTGCATGGTACCCTGTTAATTTCGCGTAAGAAGGCACAAGCATAATTCTCATCATTCCGTTTGGGATCTCTGCCTGTCATACTAGTGCACATCTGTGCATTAAAATTTAATTCAGACACATTGAAGACAGTCATAGCTTCATTCCAGGTATAATGTATAAAGAAGATGGCTTCCACTGAAACAATAATCATCCTTTTGTGGGTAGATAATAAATGAAGCACAGTTTCTCTCCCCCTCTCCTCATTATGTGCTAAAGCCATTCAACTGAGGAGCCAATAAATGTGCCATTGTTTACATTAGCCAGGAAGCTGGATGAAATTTATTTTGATTGCTATTTGAGAAAACTTCTTGAAAGTAGTAACTTATTGTTAGAATGTTTTAGCATTTTCCCTTTAAAAATACAATTTCTTTAAAACTAAAACTAAGAGTTTTTTGTATCCATGTAGAATACTTTCTACATGGTGCTTCTCTAGAAGATTATTCAGAAACTTCAACCGTGCAAAACATGGTAGCCCATTTGTAATCAGTAGCCACCGCTTGAGACCACATTACACAAGTTGAAGTGTAGTGGGTTAGACGCATGTATAAACCACTGAGACGGATGTAGTGATCAGCATGGTTTACTGGTACACAACAAAGACAACCACTACTGGCCAGCTGGCCAACTATATACACACCTGGGGACACTCCCGTAGGTCCCGTTGGTGGGTTTAAATCTCCTGCCAAGGTCCTATTGGTTCCCAAGTGGAGAGACTAGGAGCCTAGTCCCCATTGTTCCTACAGAGTCAAGCTCTGGGGTATTTGCTGGCCCCTGGTGGCGGTCAGCGGACATAACACAAGTCCTGAAGTCTCTTCACTGGCTGCCTGTGTGTTTCCGTGTTCAATTTAAGTGTCGATGCTTACCTTTAAAGCCCTTCATGACCTGGGGCCCACATACTTGGAGGAACCTCTCTTCCAGTATAGCAACTCATGCAGCAATTGTGCTCCTCCCAACAGGGTTTTCTAGCAGTCTTTTCACTCTCAAGAATATGATTTGATACAGCCCAAGACTGGACCATTTCTGTTGCTGCTCTGCTGCTGTGGAGGGGATAAGGCATGGCCTTCCAGCAAGGCTGTAAAATAGAACTACTTAATTCTGCAGAAGCTCTTTTATATCCATTGGAGAAAATAGTTTGGAATTTAAAGCAGTTATGCTCAGTAGCAGTGACGCTGCAAAGGAGTTAGAATGTTTCCCACTGTATTGGGCTCAGTGTGGTACTAATAAAGAACTCTGTGGTTTTGGGGCTGTTTCTTCAGAGCCTGAAGCAAGGAGCAGAGCAGGGCTGCTTCCCCAGGAGCACGTGAGAGGTTGTTCCTGCCTCTACAAATCCCACCTACAAAGAGATCCACGGAGGCCACAGAGGTGGCTACTTCTTCCTGAGTTGGTCTTGATTTAGAAGCCTTCTGCCTCTGGGTCTTTGTTATTCTCCCCGTGAGAGAGTGGGATTTGAGTCATGGCTCTTGACACCACAGGAGTGTGGTATCATAAGAAGCACCGGCAGAATACTGACTCTGTGTGGTTGTAGGCTCTTTTGGCAGGAGGCCCTTCTTCACTTCTGTTCTCTGCTTGTGATTGTCAAGGTGTAGTGACAGTTTAGGACAAAACAAAACACAAAATGGGGGAGTGAGTCCTTAATGCCCAGAGTAATGAGTCCACCACCAGCTAGGGTTGCCAGGTCTTACCTGGCTGCCGGGGGGGTCTTCTTTCCTCAAATGATAGAGCATCCTCCCGCAACATGCCCTGTGCGATGACATCACCTGCAAGTGACGTCGTCGTACCAGGCACATTGGCCCGAACATGGCACTTTGGGAGCGGGGTTCCCACCGCCGGCCAGATGCAAGGCAAATGTGGGTTGATGAGCAGGAGATTCTGAATTAGAGCAAGGTATGAGAATAGATGGTCCTTGTAGTTCTGTCACTCTATGCTTAGATTATCAGTACTTGAGTGATATGAACTGCACTTTAATTATTCCGTTCCATGCGAAATTGTCTTTAGTTCATGGCTTACACAGGCTGACAATAAGCCATGCTTGTTTACAAAATCAAATGTCACACAGCTACCAGATACAATGCAGCATAGATTCAAGCGGAGATTGCTTGGGCCAGATGTGCAACAGTGGGCACGTGCTTGTCTTGTTAGTGCTCATCAGCACAGTACCACAACCTGGCCCACTAATTACAACAAAAGCATAATTAAAATAGACTTAAAAACCCTAAGCAACTGGATCCCATCCAAAATTCTACAACAAATGTAATTATGTTCAATTACTGTGAAGACATTTTATAACAGACTTCACTTTATTTTAATTGGCAAATGTAACATTTGTCATGGAAAGCCAAATTCACAGGCAATGTGTTCAGTTGTAATAATATGCATTGTTATGAAGCAATTTCACTTAATTTTTCTTACCATTTCATCAAGAGAAAGTATAAAGATTATAAAATTATTTTTAAAGTACTGGCAATTAAATGATGCAAAGCAAGCCTTTGAAATAGTCGTAACCTTTCAGTTGTAACCTTGAAAGAACAGATATTTCATTGTTCATTAATGACAGTTGTGACCTTTTACTTCATCTCCTAAAGTAATCTTACTCCATCTCTTCTGCAAGTCCTTATCTTGCTGCTCTTTGCATACTAGCATACTTTACGCACTTTCTGTACATAATAACACATACTTTTAATGAGCAAAATGTGACCACAGAGAATAAATAGACATCTGACAAGCTTTTGCACTCTCCATTGCTGACTAAAATTCTGTCTGTTTCCCACCACAATTCCTAAAAGGGTCAGGGTTGAAATCAAAGGATGGGATTTTAATGAGACATGAAAGGCTTCCCCTGAATCTCATGACCCAAACAAATTTGACAAACACCTTTACAGCATTTCCCATTCCCCCCCCACAAAAAAAACCCCCTAAAGGTGATGAATGTTAATGTTGGTAAAGTACTTTAAAGATCAAAAGTGCTATGTAGAGAGAGAGCTACACAAAGGGATCAAGAAAACAGATTATAGTAGAGTAGGGGGGACATCTACATTTATAGTCTTATCCAGCAGAACAGTACTGATGCTTTGGTAGAGGGCTTCAGTATATATATATATTTACAGTCCATAGCTTTCTGCAGAAAGCTATAAAATTAAAATGGGACATATTATAACCGACCATGCACATTTGCTTACCAGCTTATAAGTACAAAAACTGGTGTTTCATTGGGTACCTGAAAGCAAGCAAAATCTTGTAATAGAAAAGTATAGAACAGGTGTGTCGAACTCATTTGTTACGAGGGCCACTTCTGACATAAATGTCACTTTGTTGGGCTGGGCCATGTGTGCCATAAAACATAATGCCAGGCACTGGAGATATAAACTGTATAAAGGAGAGCAGCTGGTAAGCTCCGAGTTGTTGTATACTCACTGCAAGGCCCCATGAGCTGGGGAGCTGCAAAGGAAAACCCATATGGGTGGACTGGAGACCCGACAATGCAGCACTGGGCAGATGATCACAACTGGAGGGTCTCTGCCCACTCCCCCCCCCAGTAGTCTCCTGTTCCCTCCCTTGCACTGGTTGCTCGTGGGCCA